GGTCTAAGCCCATTCCCTTCCCATCTTAGGGCTCCAATGCACTTTCTCACCTTCCCCACAGCTCTCAAAATCACCACGCATCTACTAAAGGACAAGTAAAATGATCTACAAGTGTCCTGGAGTCAGGCCCTGTGCTGGGGTCTTCCTGGTAAGTACAATACAGCACTACAGTGGGGCATCCAAGGCCTGGCTTTGAGCTGTCCTCATTCAATCTTTATGAAAAACACGAACCACACACACACACACACACACCCCCCACACACACACGGAATAGAAGTGATGACGGTTCTTCTTTGTGTCTTTCATTTCCCTGATTCCCAAGGAAGTCCTCAATGCTGGGCTACAGTCCTGTGACAGCAAAGCAAGCACTCACGCCAGGAGGTGAATCCACTCACCTCAGGCTTTGTGGCCTTTTCCTCCTCCCATGCATCCATACATCCACCCTCCACCTACCCATCCATGCAAGAATTAGAATTCAGAACTCAAAAACAAGAGGACCATCACAAGAAACCCAGTAACACATTGATTGAATTGAAAAATGGTATCAGAGCTCGAAGACAGCAAATCTGGCAGGACAACTGACGCCAACTAGAGGCTGCAGCAATTTCCATCAATGATCAAGTTACGCTGGCAGCTCCAGGGTCTTGACAAAAATACATTTTAAAAGGATAATGATAGATGCTTAAAAGCATTATTTCAATTGTCTTTCAAGAGGGATATTTTAAGTTAAGGGGGCATGCTGGTGAGCTCAGTTGTTTAGGCGCCTGCTGGAGCAAACATAGGTGCAGAGGACAGTGATCCCTGCTCCCCGTGCCTCCCCAGACCTGCCCTTAAGGCAGCCTGAGCCAGCACCCCCCCAAAAAAAAAAATCCTTCTGTAAATAAAAAAGGGAACAGACTGGTTCAGTAAATAATTGTTCGAACCATTTTGGTCCAGCCTTTCAGGGAAACTTCTCAGACACAAAAGACCTGGAAAGGCTGAGGAGTAATTTCTTTTGCAAGACAAGTAAGTTCTCATTTTTTATTTTCAACATAATTGAAGAAGGACTTAATCGAGTTACCACCTTTTGGCACAGTACTTAGAGAAATTCAAAGCATTACGAGAGATTGCTAGAAGAAAATTCCATTCCGTCCCTGGCCGTGCTGAGAAGGCAATTGAGACTGGGTGTGGTGGTGGGCATGGTGGTGTGTGCTTGAGAGTGGGTGTTGTAATCCCAGCTCTTGGGAGGCTGTAAACGGGCGGATCACTACGAGTCTGATCTAGTAGTGAGAACCTGAACACCCTGTAGACCCTGCCCTAAAATACTAAATAAATAAATAAATAAGAAAATTCCTACTGTCCCATGTAATTTATTCATAATTTTTCAGTATTTGTATCCCCTGGGGGCCCGGCCTGCCAGACAGGTCAGGGAATCAAGCCCCTGGCCCCTGCGCCTGCTTGCTGTTGCTTTAATCTGCTGAGCTATTTGGCTAGCCCTGAAAGATGAGTTTAGTGGGGAAAAATAGGGGAAAAACCAAGGCTACACTCTTTCTTAGTCTAATAACATTATTTGTATTTTTTATTATTTGCATATTTATTTAGAAACTACGTTTTAAAGCCCCACTCATTCCACTGAAAGCTGTATTCATGTTTTCAAATTTATACAGATACACACATACATGAATATGCTAGAGACCTATGATGGGATGATAATAAAGGACTTTAAAATGAGTGACAATAAATTGAGTTTATTACATCAAAATAAAAGATAGACGAAAAATAACCTAAGAAAGATGAATTTAATTTTTTTTTTTGGGGGGGGAAGGGTCTACAGGGTGTTCAGGGTCTCACTACTAGATCAGGCTCGCATTGATTCACCTGTTCACAGCTTCCCACGTGCTGGGATCACAGGTGTGCGCCACCAAGCCCAGTCTCAAAGTCCCTTTCAGCATGCCCTGGGGGCCCGGCCTGCCAGACAGGTCAGGGAATCAAGCCCCTGGCCCCTGCGCCTGCTTGCTGTTGCTTTAATCTGCTGAGCTATTTGGCCAGCCCTGAAAGATGAGTTTAGTGGGGAAAAAAGAAACAATATAAAAACTCTACCTATTAAAAGAGGGCTGTTGGGCTGGTGAGCTAACTCAGTGGTCTAAAGCGCCTGCTTAGGCGAGTTTAGGCAAGCATGCAGGGACCTCGGTTCGATCCCCAGCATCACATGCCATGCCAGCCCTGCCCCCAGGGTGGGCTGAGCTGACCATTAAAAAAAAAAAAGAAATAAAGAAATAAAGGAAACATAAAAAAAAAACCCAAATAAAAGAGGGCTGTTCATGTGTTTTTAAAATAGGTAAAACATGGTTATAAAATCAGTACAAATTTAGATTCAACTAGATATTTTTAAAGTAATTTTTAAATGTTAATTTCTGAGCAATACATACAGACTCTGCTAAGACTTCCGAAATGACTAGTTGCTGTTTCTTTTCCACTGAATTAATTTACTTAATCCAAAGAGTGAAAAATGAATGAAAATGTGAAGTAGTATTACATCTTTCAAAACTATCTGAACAAAAATTTCACAGGTCACCTTGAAATAGTCAAAGGAATACTTAGGGCTGGGGATGTAGCTCAGCGACACAGTGCCTGCCTGTCAAGCGCAAAGCCCTGAGTGTGGTTTCCAGCACCAAAACAAGGACAACACAGGGATACGTAGTTTTACAACATAGTACTTGAAGGCAACTGCTCTCCAGGGCTTTCCCTGGGCAGCAGATGGACCTGGATCAACATAACACCCGGCTCTGGCAACCAGGAACTGGCCCTGTATTTTCTGTCATTTCGCCGGGTATTCCTGACCCTGCCTAGCAACCAATGGGTTTGGGCACAGGGTTGGTATGCAGCCTCGTTTCTTGAGTCCTCTCTCTTTCCTGAGTGGAACTTGGCCAAGGAATGGCAGGAGCCTCCTTAGCCCAGTGACCTCTGCATCCCAGGACCACTGCTGGATGCCTGAAGCCACAGAGTTCCAAACTCTATCATTTCAGATCTCTTTCATCTTGACGAAGACTTATCAAGCACTGTGAAGGCGATGGTTTGCGTCTCCATGGCCCCTCCAAAGCCTCATGCAGTCGTAATGGGAGTTTTGAAGGTGGCTGGATTTGGGTGTGTGAATGGGGAATAAGGGTGTGGCTAATGGAAGCCCTCCCCTGGGCATGGGCGGCAGAGATCTATAGGCTTGTAGCCTGGATGGAATACTGTACAAAGGGACAGAAAGGGCTTGCCACTGCTTGCCACGCCATGTGCTATGTCCTCATGCTGTGCCACCCTGCCTTCGAGCCAGCTGACTGTGAACTAGAACCTCTACAACGGACAGCTGAACTAAACCTTCCTCTTTTCATTTGGGGGTATCGGGTATTTGTTTCAGCAAAAAGAAAGGTAACTAACACAACAGTCAAACTGTAGTTTGAGGTATGACAGCACACCCAGACAGAATTTCCTTTTCCTTCTTTGCAATTGCATGGATGGAAGATTCATTCTTCCTGTACAGGCTGGCAACCTCAACACAGGATTATTTTCTTTCCTTATTAAATCGGGAGCTTTCAGCTTTCACTCACAGGAGATGCCACAGCTTCCCTCTGGCACATCTGAATGCCAGGGTCACTGCTTGCGGCTCTGGGGGCCATTTTTCAGTACAACTGCTTGAACACAAGCCTTGCGACATCACAGAAGCTGATGTGATAACCAGCAGGAAGCACGTGGGTGAGTGCGCTAGCGAAGGGCGAAGTCGCCTCCTGGGGACGGGCGCGCGGCACAAGATCTCTCCACACCACTCCTATTTTCAGACCATGGTTGAGTAGAGGTAACAGAAACCACTAAAGCCAAAACCACAGGTAAGGGGAAGGGGTTAGACCTCTGAACAAAGAAACGTGCTGTTCCGGACCCCTGGACGGTTCCTTGTTCCTGGCGGGAAATTTCACTCACCGCCCGCCCATGATCAAGGCTAACTGAAGGTATGGGGCTTCTCCATGTCCTTGTGGCCCTAGTTCTATTCATTTATTTATTTTTTGTCTTTTTGAGACAGGGTTCTACTATGCAATTCAGGCTGGCTTTGAGCTCACTTTGTATCCCAGGTTGGTCTTAAACTCAATAGCAATCTTCTTGCCTCAGCCTCCCGGGTGCTGGGATTACAGGTGTGCACCACTATGCCCGGCTCCTAGTTGTAAATCAAAAGAGTATGACAGAACCCTTAAGTGATTGGTGCTCATTCTGTCTGGAATCTCCATCAGCCCTACAGTTTATTAATTACCATCAGGAAAGCTAGCTAGTACACTTCTTCGGGCCTCTACCTCTCTTGTTAAACTATGATATCACAACCATCTCCTGGGATTACATGGATTAGAGGAACAATGCCAACCTGGCACATAACAGTTTAATTTAATATGACATACAAAATTTAGAATTTTAAAAGTGAACTCAAGAGGCCAGGGAGACAGCACAGTAGCATAAATACCTGCCTGGCAAGCGTAAGGTCCCGAGTTCGATCCCTGGTACCACACACTCACAAAAAGTGAACTCAAAGAAAGGAAAAGGCAAGAACCAGTTGACAGGAAGCAGTGCCTCACCACAAACGGCCGCCTCTGAGCACACGGGGTGGGGCGAATCACCCTGGCGTCCCTTGTTCCTTGGTTGCTGGGCTCTGTGTTTAGTCAGGCTCATTCCCAACCAGCAGCAGCAGCCGCCCAGGTTCTGCTGTGAAGTTGCCTTTAAGTCATCCCCAACAAGAGCAGAACCTTCTTCTGGAACTGCCCTCCACGATACACAGTTACTGAGCAGGAAACTCCCAAAGCTTGGGTCCCCCACTTTCAGGCTTTCCCTAGTGACACGAAGATGCGCAGGGGCACCCCAGTGCTGTCACGTATTGCCAGCAGGGTCCTGGGCGGACCTCCCACCACGCACAGCAACGGTCTTCTTCCCTGAACGTCCCTGGGGAAGGTGGAGATGGAAGAGGGACAGCTGATGTAACAAGCAAGGGGACTTACTTTAGCAGGGATGGCACAAACGAGGTCCGGTCTGGCTTAGCGTCAATCGCATCTGTCCCTGCAGATTCTCCAGCTCCCTGCTCTCCTGCATGTCCCTGATCATCTGCCATCTGGGAGAAGCAGAAACTCATCAGAAAAGTCAGTATTCACAGTCATCACTAGTCCTATGACATTTCTAAATGACACTCACTAGGGGACATCGTTTTAAACTAAGCACAGTGCTGAGTGCAGTTAAGCTCCCAAGTTACTGTACCACCAATGCTTTCCAATATACTCCAGTCATCGTACCAGAAGAAATCAAAGCCCTTGTCCTTGGGGAGCTTCCAATTCAGCAGGTGCATTTTTGTTCAATGTTCAATGTACACAAAGAAGAAACAGAGGGAGGACTAGCACAGGTTATGGCAGGCAGAGCTCCCCTCAATTCTTGGCAGGTCACAAGGGGCCCACCCTTTGCCTAGCACTGTTCAGACAATTAAGAAACTGCAGCGACCAAGGGTGTTGCTGCCTTTACGTCTTAGGTGGTCCTATAAGAATAGATTTCTGTCAAAGTATTTTCCTGCTCAAGTGCCTTCAAGAGATGGCCACTGTCTAAAAGTTCAGATCTTATCCCATCCACCTAAGCATGGTCCCCAGGGCCTATTTTGTGGATAGAGCATGACTGGAGCCCAGCCCTGCCCAGGCATTTACACCCTAGAGTCAACTGATTGTGGCCCCCAAAGCCAAAACCCTTTGCTCCCTGGCCGCTCGGCCCCACGTTCCACTGGTACGCAACCCCTCCCCGCCAAGTTGTCTTCTCTGAGCTCTGCCAACCGCTCGGCTCCCACAGGACAACGTAAGTTTATTAGGCAGAGGCATCCGGCAAACAGAAGGTGCTGATTAAATATAAACCAGCAGAAGGCGGAAGAAATGCTCCAAGGAAAAGGAATTAGTGGGGGCAAGTCACTCAAGAGGAGCCGGGTCAGACTCGCTTTCTCAAATCAAGTCCCATTTCACTCCTCAGCAATGGGTCCGGAGGTGCATTCAGCAACCAAGAGAAACCTCTCCCAATTCCCTGAGCCAGATCCAGTTCTGCATACCTGTCAGGGCTCCCTGGGGCTGATTCCACTCGGCTAGAAACAAGGTATCTATTTTACCAACCACTGTATTCTGTGTTCAGAGTACAAATAAGGACTTTTGGAGGTAAGAAGGACGAACCCCGCTCGGAGAGGGGTGTCCACGGGGGCAAACCATGGCCTCAGCTTCTGTGCGAATTGGGGGTGAGCAGACAGTGGGGAGAGGACAGAGGGCAGGAGAGTCCACAGAGCCACGCCAACTATGACGTGTGTCCCTCATCACATTATGGGTCTGCCTACTGTGCCACCAATGTGTTTTGGGATTGGAGGAAGATCTTTCAGATTAGGACCCAAAATGTTCCTTTGAAGTAGAGAGAAGGCCAGGAATATAGCTCAGTGGCACAAGCACCTGCCTGGCAAGCCCAAGGTCCGGAGTTCAACTGGTGATACCAAACCAAAAAAAGAGAAAGAGTTAAGCCCATCCACAGAGCAGATGAACAGAAGGCCGGGCACACAGAAAAGGCCTGCCAGTTTTCGTTGTCTCTCCTCCACACATTGACACCTTGGTACCTTTCAAAGTCGATTCACAAAGTATTAGGTAAGCACTGATAACGAGTCAAAGTTTTATAAAGTCCACCTGAAAAAGATACTAGGTTTAATCTGTGAAGTCTTGACTTGTGGTAAAATTAATTTTATAGGTGGAATCTAGGATGTAATTTAAAAAAATGTGACTTTTACAGAAAGAGCAAGAAACACGTCAGTATGAAGGAAGCAGAGGCGATTCCCGCCCCCATCATTCCGGAGAGGACAACCGTGGCAGTGGCCGTGGACAAGAACACTTCTTCGAGAGCAGGGTCTACCGAGGCGCCTGCGCACCTGGGGGACTCAGACACGCGCAGGCGTGCAGGAATAAAGGGAGGAGGGGCATCACTTCACACCACCCTTCCCCAAGACAGCACAGCAAAACAGGACATCTCAACAAAATGAAAATGCAACTTCCGGAATGGGAGAAAATATTTCACAACCTTGCATCTGATCAAGGGTTAATATCCAAAATATGCAAGGAATGCATACAGCTAAAAAGCAAAAATCCACTCAGTTTAAAGACTGCTGGTTTGGTGGTGGAATGTCCCCCATTGGGCTGGGCCTCCAGGTGGGTTCTACCAGGAGGTGGTGAAAGCAAGGAGTGCCCTGGCTGGAGGCCTGCAAGTCATGGCTGCAGTGTCTTCCTGGGAACAGGGAGAGCCCAGGCCCTGCCTCTCCTCCTCACTGGCCAGCCACAAGGGAAAATGCCACCATGATGCGTGACCTTACCGTAACAAGCCTTAACTCCAAGTTGATTACCTCAGATTTTTCTTACAACAGTGACTAACACACTAGAGCAGGCATTTCTCCACAGAAGACTCAAATAAATGGGCAGCAAGCATAGCGAAAAGTTTCAAGCTACTTATGTGGGAAATGCCAATGAAATGTACAATGAACTCATGATTGTTGGGACCATAAAACTGAAAAGAAAAAATTTTGGTGAACATGTGTATGACAAGGGAATCCTCCCACGCTGTGGGCAGGCATGTGAATGGGGTACAACTATTATGGAAAAAGTGTGCAGGTTCCTCAAAAAATTACAAATAGAAATTTTGTATGACCCAGAAGTCCCACTTCTAGGTCTATATCTGAAGGGATGGAAATTAGCCCCATAATACATATTTATATGAACTTGTTTATCATGGCTTTATTCACAAGAGCCAAGATATTAAAAACAATCTAAATAATCGTCAAGAGCTGAACTTTGATTAATTTAATTTAATTTTAGACAAGGTCTTGCTACTAGTCCAGGCGGGCCTCAAACTCACAATCCTCCCGCCTCATTCTCCCAAGTGCTGAGATTACAGGGTGCACCGCTGAGCTAGCCAGGCTCAGGGGAATGGGATGTTAAACAACTGGTCTATCCCAAACTGAAGGAGTATTATCCATCCTTAAAAAGTAAAGAAATGTTACTATTTATGACAAAATACATGGATCTGGAGGGCATACGTCAAATAAAATAAACCAGGCAGAGAAAAACAAACACCGTACTATCTCATTTAGGGGTGTCATCTAATAGTCAAGCTTACAGAAATAAAGAACAGGATGGTGGTTGCCAGGGGTTGGGGGGAGTGGAGAAATGACAGTCAAAGGACACTGAATTTTACTTATGGTAGATGAACACACTCCGGAGATTGACTACACACAATCGTGCCTACGGTGAACACTATCACATGGGACAATTAAGATGCCCTAAAAAGCTAGAGCTTATGTTAAGTGCCCAAACACACATGCGCACACATGCACACACACACACCAGGAGGAAACTTCAGGAAATGCTGGCTATGCTGATGGTGAATTAGATTTCATAGGTGTATGTACCCAGCTCCAAACATATATCTATACATTAAATATGCACAGCTTTCTTAGGTCAATTGTACTTTAATAAAGTATATAAGAAATTCAAACATTTATTTTAATATTGTTGGGAATGCTGAGAACTTTGGAGACTCGACTTCATTCGTTTTCTTTCATTTACTAAATATAACCTGGAAGTCCAAGGCCTTAAGACGCTGTCACACCTGTGAGCCAAGTGACCTGTCAGGTCACTCAGGTCATTCAAGTGACCTGACACTGATGAAAGTGGTACAAATGGTGACAAAGCAAGGTTCTTGTTCCTTGGGCAGACAATGACTGGTCACAAAGGGACATCAATGAGCCACTAAGGCGTTGGGTGCGATCTCAGGAGAAAGCAACTGTCCTGAGACCTGGAGGTGGAGGCAGAAAAGCTGGGGTGGGGAATGCGGCAGGGGATATCCTAATGTCCCACAAAGGAGAGCGCAGCTTCAGGTCCCCTCCTTCCCAGCTACAAGGGGCTTTAGCTACAGAGACATGGAACTAGGCTCTGTAGTTACAGAAATGGCTCCGGGTGGGAAGCTCTCCCTCCACACTGGACCCTGAGGTCTTTGCTGGGAGGCCTGCGTCGTTTTGGGCAGGGAGTGGCCACTGTGTACTGTTTAGTGTGTGGCCAGGGACAGAGCTTAGCGGCACAAGCGCCTGCCTGGCAAATGCAAGGTCCTGAGTTTGAGTCTCTGTACCAAAAAAATAAACACAATAAAATAAAATAAACCTCACTGTTCAGGATGACACTGCCGATGACCTAAGCCAGTAGTGGGGACTTGACTGCTACACCGCTAAAGCTGATCATTTGGTTGCTTCCTTATTCTTAGGGGGCTGTGCCTGAGTTCTGGAACCATCCGAAGCGCCTAGAGCGGGACTGCCTGGCCTCGGGGAGGCCCTTTGGCCAGGCCAGCTCTTGGTTTGGACCCTTGGTTTCCTTCCATCTTCCCAGCAGTCTCCTTAGGAAACCCAGCCCAGGTCAGATCCTGCTGTGCCGCCTGGAGAAGGCCTGCCGGGCAGTATTTTCTTTTATCAAGTGTGAGTGCTAGTCAAGGGCTGTCACTTATCCCACCAGTAAATACACCTAACACTTCTTTAAATGACTTTTGCTTGTTGCTACAGTTTGTCCTTCAAGGGTTCAGGGGCTGCAAGGTGGTTCCCAGCAGGGCGATGTTAAGAAATGGGAGGACGTAAGACATGCAACCTCTTGCTGCCATCGCCCCAACAAGGAGAGTTCTAGGAGGATCCCGGGTGGTTCCTGCACTCTCAAGAAAGTTGCTATCAAAGATCAGGCCTGGCCACCCCCTGCCTATTCCAGCTTTCTGCTCGCACTGTGATTTCTCCTCGGACGCATGATGACATCTACCACGAGTTCTCCACCAGAGCTGCACTGATGCTGGCACCATGCCCTGGAGCCTCCAGAACTGACTTAAATAAACCTCTTTTTATATTGTTACTTAGCCTCAGTTATTTCCATACAGTAGCTGAAAACTGACTAGTACACACCCAAGGTACAAACAATGCCAGAAACCTAGTAAGTCTCAGTTATTGTTACTACTCTTTCACTGTTACTTAAGCGTAGTATAATTGTATGGAGACTGAGTTTACCCGAACTGCTCTTTTTCTTTTTAAATCACAGAAAAATGTCAGGGAGGCTGGGGAGATAGTTCAGCAGCATAAGCACCTACTGGGCAAGGGCAAGGTCCTGAGTTCAATCCCCAGTATCAAAAAAAAAAACCCAACCCCTGTTTAGGCTGGCCAAATAGCTCAGCAGACGCAGGGGCCAGGGGTTTAATCCCTGGGCCTCCTGTGCCAGCCCAGCCCCTGGGGTGTGCTGAGACAGCGACTGAGCACTTGGGAGGCTGTAAACAGGCAGATCACTACAAGTCCGATCTAGTAGTGAGATCCTGAACACCCTGTTGACCCTTCCCTAAAAATACAGAAAAGTGTCAGGTACATGCAGCCACTCAACAAATAATTCTTCATAAATGGAACCGAACAAACCCCAAGGGACCCCTGAGAGTGGTTAGGAGTTCAGGTGTGGACACCAGCAGATGTCGATGGAAACAGCTCTCTTGATGTGTTAGCCAGGGAGCCTTGGAAAAAGTACTCAACCCCTCTTAGAGCTGCCTGCCAAATGGGAAAACGCTGGTGCCTCGGTCTCAGGTGGCTGTGGGCACTGGCCACACAAGGCTCGGAAAGTGCTTGGTCTGGGGTGGGTCAGTCCAAAAATCCAATATTCTCTAGTCAATACCACTGACTCCAAGGCTGAGAATACATTCAACTGTCAACTTCCGCTGATATTTTAGCACCATATTCATATTTTAAAGCTTTTGTAGAGATGAAAAAAAAAAAGACTTTTGTAATTATTATTTCTAAACTTGGCACACAGCTGAGTACAGAATCACTTCCCAGCCACTGCCCGAACCTTTTCCGCACAGGGCCAGACGCACTTGCAGCTGCTTGCTTTGTGCGAAATGGCACCGTACAACCTCAACACCCATTTCCTGGCCAAATAGACATTTCTTCCTGTAAGGGTCAAAGAGGAGAGGCCCACAGACCTCCACATGTTCCTCCCGCCTCTGGTCAGGGTAGGGGGTGGGTTCTACAGGGTACTCAAGTGATGCACAGTGCCACCCTGGTGTTCACATCTCTGCTGAGACTGGAGTCTTTGCCCCTATCTTGAAAAGAAACTTTCATTTCTCCAGCGAGGTTAAGGAACTTGCCTAACGCCACTGTTTATAGGTAGGAGGGGTGGGTCATAAACCTAGGCAGCCGCAATGAAGGGATCAGGGTGTCCATAATCGAAAGGTGAACAGCCTATAATGAAACTAGGATCAAGCCACCTCACCTAGAGTCCTGGGAAAAGGTCTGCTAAAAATTCATCCAGTACTACTGACATGTCATTTTGCTTTCCCATAAACTGGAAAGCTGAACACAAGGGTAAAAGGTTGCAAAGTTGCCTGGAGACCAAGGGCCCAGACGACCTAGTGTCACCTACCTCTCTGCCACCTTGGGTACGTGGAAGGGCCCTCCCCCAAGAATGCCAGGAGCTCAAGTTTACTCAGCTTTGTAAGTGCACTGCCGAACACCAAAGTCCCGCCCCTCCACCCACGCAGCCACAACCTGCTGTAACCAAGATTCTACCTAGTGGGCACCGAAAGGGTCAAACCCAAAGCTGGCAAGTGGCCATGGGTCCGGGAACCCAGGACTGTCTGATAGGGTGACCTCCCTCTTACCCACAGTGCCAGACTATACCTCTAAACCCATCCCTCCTGCCTGGCCATGCCCAAGTGTTACAGGGTGCCCTAAGACCCCAGGGGAGGACGCCAGGGAGAAGCTGCAGGAAACCATTCACAAGGGACTCTCTCAGGGGCGTGGAGAGCCCCCTCCCAACTCCCTGGGCTAGCCCTCCAGGTCACTTGTCTTCACCCCATCCAGATCCTGATCCCCACCCCCACCCTGATTCCCACTCAGACCTCCACCTCCATACCCATCCCATCCCCTATCCCTACTCAGACCCCCACCCTCACCCCGACCCCTCCCTACTCCGACCTCCACTGCCAGCCCCAACCCCACCCCAGAGGGCTCCACGTGGGCGCTGGTGGCAGAGGGAGGGGGCCGGTGGGCAGGAAGGGACGCCGGCGGATAAGGCAGGACCGAGGAGGAGCCAGGAACTACCACGTTACCGTTCCCACGCAGCCTGGGCGGCCTGCTCGGCAGCAGTCTCTGTCCGCGTGGGCAACTGTACCCGGGTGCGTTAGTAAAAGCGAAAGTAAAAGTCCCAAGCCGCCCGTCGGGGGAGGAGCCGTCCAGGCCGGAGCGGGCGGGGCGACTGACCTGGGTCGGGGCGGGAGGGCGCGGCCTGGGGGCTCGGGCTCCACACGCGGAGGCGCGATCACCACCGCGCGCCCCAGGCACTGGCTGCGCCTTCGGCCAAGAGGCTCTCTGACCCCACGGGGGCTGCGCGCGGGGGGCGGCGGACTCCGCACGGTGAGCTCTGCAGAGCTGGCCATGCGCGCGGGGCTAGGCATGCAGACGTCCCGCCGCCCGCGGCCCCAGGGGAAGCTGTGCGCCCCGGCGCGCCCCACCTGGCCGCGGCGGCTCCCGGCCCCTGTCCCGGCCCGGCGGCGCCTGGCGGACTCAGCTCCCTTGGCCCGAGGGCGCGGCCCCCGTCGCCCCGTCTGTGCTGACCGCGCGTCCCGCGCGGCCTCCGCGCCTCTGTGCCGGTCTCACCTCCCCGCGGCGGGCTCTGGTCGGGCGGGCGCGGTGTGCCGGGCGTCGCTTCTTTCCGTGGCCAGGGGCGGGTCCGAGCCAGACTCTGGTGCAGCGAATTCCCGCCAAGCGCTCCCGCCGCCGCCGGAACCTCCGACAAGCGTGGATTGAGCGCCCCCCTGTGCCGGGCTGGGTACGTGGCGGCGAGGTGGGATGAGGCCGGGCACCGTTTCCGCGGCCCGCCCAGCCAACTGGAGGAATAAGTGGAGGACAGAGGAGGCGGATCCTTTCCTTTGAAGTCTTATGAACTAGAGGTTTCCTTTCCCAGAGCAAGCAGCCCGGAGCCGATGAGCCGCAGAGACCTCAGATTTGGGTAAACTGCAGCTGGCAGCTGTTGACGCATTATGATCACTGTCCTTGGGGGAACGTTGACCCCTTCTGCAGCTCCCTTTGTTACCAACTTCTCTCCCCAGCTCTGTCCCGAACCAGCGGGTCAGTCAAGGAAGGTCACCTGGGGGAGGAGCGGGGAATTGAAGAGGGGACAAAGGACGGGAGACGCGAGAAATGGAGGCAAGACAAAGATTCTGATCAAGCCTCCTTTATTTAGGGGAGGTTCTGGGTATATATAGGGGGTGATGGAATGAGGAAGTCTCGGCTCTTGGGGGTCAGCAGGTATCTAGGCAACGGGGAGGGTGCAACCCCTAGGGCATAGCACGTGATTCACGGGGAATGGGCAAGGTGAGAAGGGCCATAAACTTGACTCAGCTGGGAATAGAATGGATACCGATTATTGGCCTCCAACACAGCTCTGCAAGAACCCCTAGGTTTCTGTTGTGTTCCTGTTGGCCGGAGCAACCAGCAAGCAGCAGCTTCCCCAGACTCCTGCTTCAGGTTATTTTGTAGCAGAATATCCCTGTTAAGACACCTCTGTCAGGGAGATGGCTCAGTGGAATAAGTGCTTCCCTGGCAAGCGCAAGGGCTGTTCTATCCCCCGTTCCACAAAAGAAAGAAACACCTCTGCAGGAACTGCTATAGGACATTCTAGAGAACAAATCTCCAGTGAGTCCCACGGGCACCAAAGCGACCTTTCTGCATCTTGCCAGCTGTAGATGTTCAGCAGGGTCTAGACCTCGGCTCTGGGGAAAGGGAGAAGTGGTGCAATGATTTATTTTTATGGGTGAAGTACTAGCCCCCATTGATGGGGTAGGGGTAAGGGCTTTACACAGGTAAAATGAGCCAACAGGGTGGACTGCAATACAGTATAACTCATCTTTATATGAAGAGATCAGTATGCAAATACTCAAAGAAACAAAACCATGTGAGGACATAGGAAGAAGATAGAGGACATCTATAAGCTGAGATGCCTGAGAAGAAATCAACCCTGCCGACACTTTGTTCTTGGACATGTAGCATCCAGAATGATGAGAAAATAAAATTTCAGTTGTTTAGGCCACCTAGCCTGTGGTACTTTCTTATGGCATCCCTAGGGATTACAGGCGCACTCTATCGCCATTTCAGGGTGCTTGGGGGGCGAGGCCATGATGACATGCTGGGGACTCGAACCCTGGCTGCTAGCATTCTGTCTAAGCAGGCGCTTTAGTTGCTGAGCTATCTGGCTGGCCCTTAATATTACCATATGTTTTGGGCAAGTATGTTTTAGAGTTTTCTTTACTCGTTACCTCAGTTCTGATCCTGTGGCCTTTAGCAGGAAAACACAGTTCTTGACTCAGAAGGAAAACTCCCCCTCACCCACAGACGAGCTACAGTCCCTGGGCCAAGGGAATGTGGGCCCAGAAGTTGGGTCGGACTCACCCGTGAGTATGATTCTACTGCACACAGTCAATGCTCAGGCCCGATGTTGCCAGCTTCCTCTGTCTTCTTCCTTTTTGCTAAGAGCACATTGGGTCTGGTTGTTCCTCTTGCCCTGTGGGCAGCTGCTGAGATCAGAGATGGGCAGACTGAGGCCTGCGGTCCTCCCTGTGGCTGTTTTTGCCCAGCACACAAGCTAAGAACGATTAAAACAAGATGCAATAGAGATAGATTATGTGTGGTCTACAAAGCTTAAAATATTTTGTCTGACTTTTTACAGACCTCTGTCTTAAACAGTACACCCCATCTCCAAATCAAGTAGTGACCTTCACCTAAGGATGATCCCAAGCCAGATGTAGGCTTGAGGAAAGACAAAATGTTTCTTTACTTTTCCTGGACGAAGTACTTGTGGATCTAGTTTATACAACCAAGAATCACTGGCTTAGTGTGTTAGGGGGAAGCCTCCAGCTTGGCCAACCTCACCAATGTTCAGCTTTCCCCAGAGCAGTAAGAGACATCTGCCTAAGCAAAGTCACCACAACTAGTGCATAGGCCTTAGGACTCTTGAGGAACTTTGTCCACAAGTCAGGGGCCTCCACCAGCCCGTGCCTACGGAACAGGTCCCCATTTAACACCATATGAATATCTCAGCACTTTCCTCTGAGACACCCGTAAGCCCTAGGGATGGAAGTGAGGATGGAATGGAAGGTATGACCTGGGAAAGTGGGAGAAGTGGAGCCAAGGCCCTGCTTTGTGAATTCTCCAGCCCGGGGGTGACACAGCATTGTGTGGAGGGGGAGACAGAACAGAACTGCATAAGGAGTGTATAGAACATAAACGATTTCCTGTTTAGTCTTGGACCCATCATCAAGATATCTCAATATGTATCTTGCAAATATTCCAAACTTCAAACATTTCTGAACTCTAGAACAGCTCTGATCCTAAACACTTCAGATAAAAGATACTCCAGTTGTCCCATCTTGGGAATCAATCCCCATACAGACTAGCTCCCCCATTTTCTACCTTTCTGCTTCTCTCCTGGATGTACATTTTCTGGCCCCTGGGACATGAAACTAACTCTGTCATCAAGAATATTTCTATAGGGGTTGGTGAGATAGCTCAGTAAGATAAGCGCTTGCCTGGTAAGCGCAAGGTCCTGAGTTCAATCCCGGATACCACGAAAAAACATTTCTGTTGATGAGTTATTAACTATGATTGTATGAGCTATATTAAACAATGAGCACTTAATAGGAAAAAATCACAAAAATAAGACTATTATTGAGAACATTTCTATTGATGAATTCCTTGTAAGTGTATGAGTGTGGTTATATTCAACAATGAGCACTTAATAGGAAAACAATCACAAAAATAAAATATTGTATTTTTAATATTTACTGTTTATTAAAAAGCGCATCAAAATTGTCAACACTGACTGGTTTTTGGTGTACAAGTCTGAAAAAGAACTTCAGAAATAAATTCTCTATGAACTACAATAAAAATACCAATATTACTCTACCAAAAAAAAAAAAAAAATCTGAGCTTCAGTCATCACCTACAGCAGCCTGCACACGACATCAGCATGTACCACACACGTGTGTCATTACAGTGACATCACGTCTTTTGCTTTCCTGGCCTTCTTGTAGGACATCTCAGTAGCCTTGCTGTCCTTTCAGGAGGTTCTTATATACAATGTGTAGTTAACAAAAACATAGAATATCAATGAATTAAATCATTTAATTCTTAATTTGTGCTGTGAGTTTAGAATAGACATCAACATTTTCACATCAGCCGTTACTTCCTTACAAAACTTAACCACAGAAATGTGCTGGACCTGCCTGTTCACCTGTCAGCTCACCGCTGTACTCCACGGAGTCTGAGGGTAGGCTCTGCAGGCAGAAACGTTTTGTGTTACCTCTACTGTAATGATCTCTTATGAGCTCCAGTCTCAGTCCTCTAAGAAAATTTCTCTGTGATATTTCGCCCTTGTTATTTTCTTTGTACACCAGCAAGCTATTTATGTCACACACATTTAGGATCGAGTAAAACACAACCGCTGGCCACGGCTCTGTGTTCGAGTGACATTGTAGTTGCTGCATAACTCAGCAACAGCAGGTTTGTTGCTGAAAATTTCCATCTCAGGCTTCTGTTGTCAGTGTTTCCTTACCGATATTTCCTTCGGGGTTGAACGTTGACATCAGCAGTACCAGTTTGCTTTTCTTTGCCATATAGGAAGCCGATGTTATATCTTTCTGAAATTCAAAGATTGTACTATACAATTCTCTGTTTTAAAATTGCAACATTTCATTTGAAATTTCTGTTTTCTTCTTGTGTACAGTTCCTGTACTGGTCAACTCTGTGCTCTGTTTACAAAAAAAGTCAATTGGAAACTGGTAAACCAGTTGTCGAAGGTCACATTCTGGTTAGCTTGGGAGATGAGAACAAGCCTGTTCACAACATAGTCATAAGCCTGTCCGCTTGGCTTATTATTATACGCACAAGGACCTGATGGCTGAGCTCCAGGGTAAATGTCTAAAGTGAAAGGATGCTAAGTGTTTGCATCTGCAAAGGCATACATTTTTATGTCATATTTTGATTCATCACTTTTCCGTAAATCTTTCATATTTCTGAGATCGTCATGAGAAATTTGCGCTATGTAGAGAAGACCTACGGATGCTTTCCGCTCAGCTGGTGAGCTGTCATAATAAATGCAT